ACTCTTTTGTATATGGATCTTGCCATTTTCTCCCTCGTATTTTACTGTTCTGATAGTCTCTAGATCCACTTTAGGTGAGTACACAGTGTCTGACTTGCTGCCATAGCTCGGCCGTTCTAACTTCTTAAGCCACAGGGAAGAAAATGGTAGCAGTTCACTCAGGAGATTGGAGATTGAACCTGCTACACTGTAGTGCTAATAGTGCTCCAGCTTTTAAAGGAATTGCTTCACTTGAACTATAAATGTGCTGTTTTTTAAGTACATAATGCATAATATCCTGAGTTTGCACCCATGTTCCATTTCACCCATCTGTGAAACTAGTTGAGAACAGATGTAAAGCATAGCATTTCATTTATATAGCAGCGTAATTTCAACCGCAGAACTAAGTAGTGGATGTAGTGGTTCAGTAATAAATTGCAATTTTGCTTGTGAATTGACCTCCTTTTCCTCTCTAACTAATATTCCCACAGAGTTTATGTACCTTTCTTCCTGTTACAAAGTACAGGAAGTAGAAATGCCAATTCCTAAATTAAGCCTGATGAGAAAATTGCATTTTGAACACAGTAAAGTTTTGGCTGCGGCTACAGACTGAAATCCAGTTTGGATGTCCAGCTTCCGCCCAGCAGACATTTCATATTTTCTCAGAGGAGTCATACATCTTCGAAATAGTTGGATCTCCACAGTATCAAGCATTTAAACGCTGTTCGTAACATATAAATACATGAGAAACCGGGCGAGAATTAAGCACGTTAATAAGCCCAGCCTGGCTTTCTGACAGCGTTCTCTTGTACATTCTGCATTCCACTCCCAGTATCGTCATTTGAGAAAGGCAAAAAGGCGAGAACATTTTTTAAAAAAACAGACAAAAGGATTAGATTAACTCTTTAACACAGTTTTACTGAAACTGTGCCTACGATTTAAACAAAATGTAGTTCCTTTCAGACAAGCCTGACTAAGTTATACTTCCTGAATCAGGGGAATTGAGGTTTTATAGAAGTCAGTTTCTCCTTTTTGTTGAACAAGCAATTACAATTATTGATGATCTAGTGGGCTGTGGAAAAATAAACATCTGTTCAAGAGAAGTGAGGAAAGATTAGTTTTTGATTACAGGTATCCAGTTCACACTCTGGTTTTACAAAATTAAATCTATGTAATTTAGAAAATATTAAGAAAAAAAGTTAATTTCCACAGAGAACCAAAACCTCTAACTTTGTATCACAGTATACAGAATAAAGTCTGTGATTAAATGGGCTGAAAAGTGGTTTAATCTTTATGAAAATGAAAGTTTGACTGTCTTTACACTCATTAAGATTTTTAGTGATGAGGTCAAAATGGGAATGGAAAGTTTAGTGTTAATGTTTCGGGTCCAATGACCTTCCTCAGAACTGATGGTAGCTGGGAAAATGTTGGTTTTTATGTAGGAAGTAGGGAGGAGCATAGGGTAGGGAATAAATGATGGCATAGAGCCCAAAGAGAGAGAAAAACAGTTAGATAGACAAAGGAGTTGATAACGATCTGGTTGGGAGGGTGATTAGCTGTTAATGGGGATTGTTAGTGACTAACGACAGCTGGTGTGTAATGGCAGGCTATGTGGTAACGAGGCCTGGTATGTGGGGTAGGGGGCTGGGACATGGGAGAGTTTAGGCCCTAAAATTATTGAACTCGATATTGATTCCGGAGGGTTACGTTGAGCTTCGCTGGAATGCTGCAGCAGTCAGAGACAGATGTTGGCCAGGGAACAGGGTGTTGTGTTGAAGTGGCAGGCAACAGGTAGCTCAGGGTCTTTTTTGTGAGCAGAACGTAGATGTTCTGCAAAGTGGTCACCCAATCTACGCTTCGTTTTCCCAACGTGGAGGATACCACATTGTGAGCAGCGAATGCAGTAGACTAGATTGTGGGAAGTGCAGGTGAAGTGTTGCTTCACCTGGAAGGTATGTTTGGGCCCTTGAATACTGGGGAGGGCGGAGGTAAATGGGCAGGTGTTGCACCTTCGCCGGTTACAGGGGAAGGTGCCATGGGGCTGTGTGGGGGTGTTGGGAGTGAAGGACGAGTGGGCCAGGGTATCCTGGAGGGAACGGTCCCTGTGGAAGGCGGACAGGAGAGGGGAGGGGAATGTGTGTCTGGTGGTGGCATTTCGCTGGAGGTGGCGTAAATGGTGTTTGATTATCTTCTGGATGTGAATGCTGGTGAGATGATAGGGGAGGATAAGGGGAACCCTATCGCTGTTGTGAGCAGAAGTGCAGGAGATGGGTCGGATCCGGTCAAGGGCCCTGTTGACAACGGAGCTGGGGAATCCTCGGTTGAGGAAGAAGGTGGACATTTCAGAGGCTCCCTTGTCAAAGTTGGCCTCATCTGAACATAAGAGATGGAGACGGAGGAACTGAGAGAATCAGATGTAGTCTTTACAGGAAGAACATCTACGTTCTGCTCGCAAAAAGGACTCTGAGCTGCCACTTTAACACACCACCCTGTTCTCTGGCCAACATCTGTCTCTAGCTTGCTGCAATGTTCCAGCAAAGCTCAGTGTAAGCTGGAAGAACAGCACCTCATTTTCTGCCAGGAGACCCTGCAGCTCTCCGGACTCATTATAGAGTTCAATAATTTTAGGGCCTGAACTCTCCGATGTCCTAGCCACCTTGTTATCACATAACCTGCCATTACACATGACTGTTAGTTACTAACAGTCCCAATTAACAACTATTCACCCTCCTAGCCAAATCATTATCAACTCCTTTGTCTATCCAGCTGCTCTTCTCTCTCTTCAGGCTCTATCCTTTATCCTATCATTTACTCCCTACCCCACCCCCCTCCCTATATTCTGTATATAAACTGACTTTTTCCCAGCTACCATCAGTTCTGAGGATGGGTCATTGGACCTGAAACATTAACTCTGATTTTTTTCTTCACAGATGCTGCCAGACCTGCTGAGCTTTTCCAGCAGCTTCTGTTTTTGTTCCTGATTTACAGCATCTGCAGTTCTTTCGGTTTTATGGAAAATTTAGTCATTTTTCTACAGTAAATGAGACATGCCTTGATTTATGACAAATGTAAAAATTCAAATCTGTATAATAGGCTGAGTGATAGTTTCAGTAGTTTTTTTGGAAGATGTGAAACATTAAATCTGTTTCTCTCCCCGCACACCTGAGCATTTCCAGCACTTTGATTTTGTTTCAGAATTCCAGTATCTGCAGCTCTTTCTTTTTGTTTAATACGTTTTTTTCTTTCTTTCTGGAATGTTTTCAGTGGATTTGCTGCCCACCAATTCTTTTTCTGACATTAGTCCAGGCTACTGATACCATGTGGGGAAAGATGCCTACACTATGTCTTAGGGAGAAGATGAACTTACTTTTGATGAAAAGTAAATAAGTTTATCACATATTACTTAATAGCTAATGATATTACATCTGAGCTGAAACATCAAGCCAAACTTAAGAGTAAATGGACTATACTACTTTATCCACATGCTATTAATGCTAAGTAGAATCACTTGGAAACTGGTTCCGTTCTCCCAGCACAGTCCTATTTATAGCCTGATGGTTGGTGCTCATTTTGTATTGTTAGTTACTGCTTTAATAATCTTGCACAAACATCTTCCATTGCTTTGCTCTTTGAGATTGTTGTTGTCGTTGTTGTTGTTGTTTATTGTGCTACCATTCATACCTTCTTTGGGCACCTCTTTTGTTTCTTTACTTGTCCCATCAATCCTTTAGCCAGTTATTTTTTTCCCGCCTTCTATCTTGTCAGACCTTCAATTTTTCTCCCTGTTCCCAACTCCCCTTCATTCTTTCCCTTAAACCTGTTATGTCCTGTTGAAAGACTGTCAATCTGAAATGCTAACTGAGTTTCTCCTCCACAGTTGTTGTCAAACATGCTGAGTATTCTCAAACTTTGTTTTTATTTCCCATTTCTAGCATCTGTAGTGTTCTGATTTTGCAAATTGCAATGATTTCATAAGTCTGATAAGACGCTTAAGGAAAAACACCAAATAAGACTTCTCTATCTTTTGAGTGTTACATCTTCACAACATTTATAAAATTTAATTAAATCTAGGAAGCACCATTAGAACACCCATAGATGGTAGGGATAGTAATTTTTCTTCATAATGGTGGGTAGCTCTGGCAGCCCATTGGATATAATAAATTTGGAATTCGAATCTTAAATATTCCTTTATCTATATTTGAAATTTGAAAAAAGTAAAACAAATTGGATTTTTATGCACATTAAACTTGAAAAATAAAGTCCCTTTTTTTTAATCTGTGAAATGAAATTGTCACAGAAATACAGAGGTGTAATTACCTGAAAAATAATAGTAATGTGGTACTTGAAAGATTGTCAGTTGTTATAATTATTGCATACAGATGGTCTTAATGTTGCTGTTGCATGCATCCTTGGGCAGGTAAAGGCCTGAACATAGAGTGGGAAATACATCTTCAAAGTGATGGTAATCCATATTCTGGAATGAGAAGCCTATTTAGAGCTCCGGAGAGTTTCAGTGAGGAAGTGCAGACTTGCTGTGCTCTGTGCAAGTCATTGAATCATTTATTTTGTGCTTTGATAAAGCATTATGATCTCCTTCATGTTTAAGAGGTTAATCAATTCGTAGATGGTGCAGTCATTAATAGTGTTACAGAAGGATTTGCGTAATTATGTGGTTCATTATTGTGAACTTCTGCCTCAATTTTTTGATTGCTCATCAAATTCTCAATATCTCCAGGAGAGACACTGCGCCCAGGATTTACATGTTGTAACAATATACATGAAACCAGCATTTCAACTGAAATATAACTATCATATGGTCACACACTGCTGTATTATTTGCTAAACTCGGGCATGGAAATATCAATCTTGACATCTTTAGGTGTTAATAGATATTCAACTGCATGCGTTTTTGAGTTATACCCAGATGCTATGAAGCTTGCAATTTGGTGCTTATTTTGATGCCTTTGTTTCTGTATTTTTTGAATTGTTTTTTTGTTTAATTGAATGATCCCTCTTTCTAGATTTCATATAACCTATACTCCAGTACCCTCATTGTTGAAGCCCTGTGATCCTTGTCAGAAGTGCTTCCAGGTCAAAGTAAGATTCTTTTCTTTTGAGAGTATTTGACAGAAATGTTTTAGATTGTGAATTCTTGAATGAATCTCTCAAAGGGACAGCAATCGTGATACATGCTGATCTTTGTGGGAATGGTTTTATAACACAAAGAATATTTGTTATTAATACAAGCATTCATACTTTAACTGAATAGTATCTTGACATGCTCTTCACTTGCTGTCAAAATTTTCCTTATTGCCTGTGCTTCCATTACTGTTATTTTGTGTTTACATTCTTTCACTTTCAAAGCTTTCATTTTCTGTAGTTGCTTTTTTTTTGAAACCACATATAGGAAGAATACAAATAGTATATTCCCATTGTCTGAGATGAGACAGCAATTTTTTTTTTTTGTTCTTTGTCAATGTTGTACTATCTGCATTAATTAAGAGGTATGCTACCGACCCAAAGTGATTTGGTCCCATTATTGAAGCTCCCATCCACCTCCCATCACGGTATCTAAGAAGGAGTTGAAAAAGTGGAGATTTGTACTCTGGTATCTAGATTGAATGTGCTGTTCCATCGTAACAATTTAATTGTTCAAGTACTCCACAGTATCACACTGTTCTTTGAATTTACAAGTTAGAATGGTAGAATTTATTAGTTGCACAAAAGAATTTAAAGGATTATGAGTTGAAGAGGGAAGTTTTATCAGTTAGATAATCAAATTAAATCAAGTGTTTATGAACAAATTAAAGTCAATAATTCAATGAATGAGAACAACAGTAAAATATTCTGATTATCAGAAGCTGAAAATAATTTCATTATTGGCATATTTTTATATTTTTAAAATTTTTGTTACCTGTTGTCATTGCAACTCCAGCTACAATAATTCTGTTGTTTGGTGTACTGACTGGTCTAGATTGCAAAGGAAAACAAAAACAAAAATTCCTTGTACAAATTATAATACTGATGGTCAATAGTTCTGATTTCAATTCCAGACAGTGAGTGTTGCCAACACTGTCACATACATACATAAAGCACTGTGGAATTTAATGTTGAGGTGATGAATTGCATAACAATAACGTGAGGATTGTCACCTTTCAAAGGCAGGATATATCTTGTGTATTCAACTTTTCTTTAATAAAGGTGAAATTGATGCAGCATCTTAGGGTAAATTGGAATATTTTCATAATTAGTATTCAATATTACAGCATTTAATATTCTCCAACATAGATACACCAAATGGGAAGTAAAATAACCTTTATCCTTGGGTCCAAATTAGGAATGAAATGTAATACAAATGTGTAGAATTCTTTGTTTTAAAATGTTATCTTAATGCTTATCATACATGATGATTTGAATTTTTTTTCCCAATTAAATGTTGGGGATTTATGCCATTACCTTTTGCTCTGCTTCAAACTGTGTTCTTTAACTACAGACTCCATTCCTCTCCCCAGCAACTGTGCAAAACAAATCCATTCTGTTTGCAAGCTTTGTATCATATGTGACCCGAGATGCATGTCCAACAATATGTCTCCACGGTCACTTAGGCTGTCTGTCTTCATGTTCGTAACATTGCCTGATTTTGTACCACGTCTCAGCTCATCAGCTGCTGAAACCTTGAATTCATGTCTTTTTTTAACTCTAGACCTCTCCACACTGGATTGTTACCATCTGTGAACAAAGGTCATCCAAAACTCTGTTCCAAGTTCTTATCTCTGTGCTCACGAAACCACATTTGTTTCTGGTTAAACACCTTTATTTTGAAATGATCATTCTTGTTTAAAAATCCCTGCAAGGCATTGTCCCTCCCTATCTCTGTAATTTCCTCCAACCTCTCAACGGTCCAAAAAAATCTGGACTCATCTAAGTCTGGCCTGTCCAGCATCTCTGATTTTATTTGCTCCACTATTGGTGGCTATGCCTTCAGCTGCCTAGTCCCTAAATTTTGAGAGGGACCCTTACACCCGCCCACGTCAGGGACCATTGAATATTGATTGGGGTAGATGTGTTTCTGGACCATTGTTTTCCTTACTTACTGAGGCTAGTTAAGAAGGTATATTGTTACCTTGACTGAGATCAAGTCAAATCTAGCACAAGTTACAAGATTGTGACCTTTATGCAATATAGTAATGTTATACCAAGGAATTTGTATAAGCAGCTTTGCATCTTATTAACTTAATTTTGGTTTCCTTTCCTTTCTGCAGCTGACTCCATTGCGGACACTATGTCAGTGTTCCTCACAACCACCAACAGCCAAACAGATGTAGTGAATCGCAACAGTTCAGCTACACCACCAAATACGCTTAACCTTCGTTCCTCCCACAACAAATTGGTCAATTCTGAAATAAAGAACGGAGAAACCAAGAACAACACCCCTCCAAAGTGTAGGAAGAAATATGCCTTAACTAATATCCAGGCTGCAATGGGCCTTGGAGACACCACAGCATCGCCAGCGATAGTAAATAACGCCAACTCAAAACTGGCAAAGAACGGAGAAAACCAGCTGCGGAAAGCAGCTGAACACAGCCAGCAGGTCATGAACAAGAATATCAGTGCAAATGTTGTCAAAAATATAATCTCAGAAAAATTGGAGGGCAAGGAGCCAAACTTGCAAGACACGTCTTGCACTGGGCCCTTGTCATCACAACCGAGGAAGAGTAAGAGCTTCCTGAATTACTATGCAGATCTGGAGTCATCCACTCGTGAGTCAGAGCAAAATTATGGCAACAATCCTATTGATTGTGAGGAAAACACCGGCCTATCCCATGATAAAAGTACAACGAATGATGACGTGGCCAGTGACGAGAGCATGTCTGCCAGTCCTGAAGATTGCCAAATGGCCACACTCTCCTCCAGTCCAGAAATAAAGAAAGATCCACCCCGACTGGGAGGGAAAACTGACTCTGCATTGAGTAAAATGCAGAATATGGCCCCCAGTGATGAAGATTCAAGTTGGACCACCCTATCACAGGACAGTGCTTCACTGAGTTCACCTGAAACAGGTATGAACACTGCTAACTTTTCATATGTTTATTTATATACTGTAATTGGTCATTTTATTGCAGACTTTATTCTTGAAAACTGAATTTTTTAATAAGTTGCTTTCAAAGGCAAGGGATTGTCAGAATACTGGATCCTAATAAAAAGAGACATGGAACCTCAGAATTTCAGAAGTAAATGGAAATTTTTGGACATAGGCAACACTGCTTTGATTCTTAATTTACATTTTCAAGCAACTCCAAGTTGATGCACTTCTGGTGTTTACAGTCTTTGGCTCATTAGATTGCAGCGCGGAATTCCACAAGACCAACAGATTGAGGAAAGACAGTTTATGACTTTCAATTTCTGTTCATGTTCTCAATGTTTTGGGATAAACTGTAGATTCAGTAATGTAAAATTCACACATCTAGAGTTTTTTATGGGCTTTGTATTCATCTGTATTTACCCTGCTCACATCTAATGGTGGTAGCTTTACTGACAGGTTTCTGGAGAGGAGAGTGCTTTCTTAAGTTTGCTTTTGGCTTCACCAGTATTTGCCACAGTATTTCTTGTTCAAACCAAGCATTCCATTGGTATCCTTGTGTAAAACTAAGGGAGTGTACAGAAACATAAAAACATGGAAGAGGCCATTCAGCCCTTTGAGCCTGCTCTGCCATTCATATCGATCATGGCTACTCGTCCAACTCAATAGCCTAATCCTACTTTCTCCCTATTACCTTTGATCCCATTCGCCCCAAGTGCTATATCCAGCCACCGCTTGAATACATTCAGTGTTTTGGCATCAACTATTTCCTGTCGTAATGAATTCCACAGGCTCACCACTCTTGGGGTAAAGAAATGTCTCCTCATCTCCATCCTAAATGGTCTACCCTGAATCCTCAGTTTGTGACCCCTGGTTCTGGACAAACCCACCATCACTTTATCTGATTCCTTTGAAATAATGATTATGCTAGCAATTAGTTGTAATACCAAGCTCTTCATTTTAAAGTTTCTTATCTGCAGGTTTTAGGATTTTTCAGGAAGGTGCTAGCTGATTTATGCAAGATGAAGAAGCTGATTCGAGGTCATTTAACAAGGCCTGTGAAGTAATCATAAAAATAAAGATGCTGCAGAAACTCTGCACGTCCAGCAGCTTCTATGGCGAGAGAAGCAAAGTTAACATTTTGAGTCCGATGTGATTCTTGTTCGGAACCAAATTTTTTTTAGAGTTGGACTCTTCTGTTAAGCTGTTTTCCCACCACAGATCCATCCATCCATCCTCCTGAGATTCTGCAGCACTTTATTTTTTTCTCAGATCTCTAGCATCCACTGCATTTTGTTTTTATTTCAAGATCTTTGAAGCAGTTTGGTCAATGAAACTGTCATAAATGAAGAAAACAATCTAGCCAGGGCTGACTGTGCTTTGACAGTTACATTTTGGTTAAAGTAATTGTTTGGATCGGCTGAACAGGGGCAGGGCCAGTGGTGTTTGTCATCTTTTTAGCTTAAGGGCTCTATGGCTAGGGTTTCTATTGAGCTGCCTGCACTTGGCTGATCAGTCTTCAATCTGCTGACAGTTTTCAGACTGCAGAAGTTCTGACTAGCTTGACTCAGTGATTGTAGTTCACTGAGAGCTCAGCAAATGGTTTCGGGGATCTGGTTTTGTTGAAATGGTACTCAAGGGAAGTGCCTTTGATACGCCATGAAGGATAGGATAATTTGTATTTCTCCTGCAGAATGCTGTGCATTGACGTACTTTAGTTAAATAGTGCGTTGATGCATAGCCAAGGCCTCAGTCTAATGGAACATATATTTAATCCGCCTATTGAAGAGAGGGAATTTATGTGACAGCACATGATGCATTCCAGTCTACCAGAATGGAGTAGGTCTCTGTTTTATTCCTAGGCCTTGATTTCTTTTCCTAGGGCATTGAGCAGGCAAAAATATACCTAAATTCAGAGGAAAAACTAGGTGCCTAACAAGAAGTATTAGTGAACTCATGTAGGATATCTAAGATTCAGAAATGCAAACAGTTAAACTAATTGCTGAAATTAATACTTTTTGAAATTAATTTGGTGGGAGGGGAGACAAATAGCACCTTTTGAGTAGTGGTTTTCAGTCATCAACATTGATTCTCTGGGGATTCTGCTGATCTCCTTCTTGGGATTAAGACAACCTCTCAAAAATTCAGACTTGTACAAAAAAATTCTTTTAGTACCTTTATTCAAGCCATTATGTTATGCAATGCCCATACTACAAAAATGTCATTATTTCTTTCAATGTGCCCCTTCCTCTTCAGTTTCTGATTTTAGGGTAAAATGCACATCTGGAGATCTAACCCATACTGCATTTGTACGTGATGTTCACCACTCTGATTTCCTCCACCAGTTTGTACTGAGTGGTGAACTGCAGCCTACAATGACAGGTTTCAATCTCTGTAACTGGCATATTCATCTGAGATCTCAAAGGCTGCTCCATTTCACCCAAAATTACATGTTATTAAAAGATTTTTTTGACTATCAAATTTTTGAGAACCATGAGCGGCTCAGTGGCACTGCTACCTCATAGCATCAGGGATGTGGTTCAATTCCATCCTCGGGTGACTGTGTGGAAGTTGCAATTCTCTCCATGTCTGCGTGGGTTTCCTTGGGTGCTCCAGCTTTCTCCCTCAGTCCAAAGATGTTCAGGTTAGGTGGATTGGCCATGTTAAATTACTCAGTGTCCAGGGATTGGTAGGTTAGGTGTATTGGCCATGGGATATGCAGGATTACAGGGAGTGGGTTGGCAGGAGGGGCGGAGGGGTCTGGTTGAGATACTCTTTTGAAGGGTCCGTGTGGACTTGAAGGGCTGAATTGCCTGCTTCCACACTGTAGAGATTATAAGACCTTTTTAGGCAAGAATGAAAGAACATATACGTTATGTAACTTAAATCTTTCAGTGTTAACACCAGCAAGTGCTCACACTGGCCTATTGGATAAGTAGACATAATATTTTGTTGAAAGTTCTTTTTTTAAATTTATATTCATACAATTAATCATTAGGGAATACAGGAAATGGGCAATTGCTGAGTTTAGGTTGAATGACATTACTCTTGGGTTCAGTTTAAATTATTGATCAGAAAGTGGGGAAGGCCTTTGTGTTGAGAGTAGCACTCTAGCTAATAGAAATCTCCCACTAAATCAATTTATGATATAACTGAAGTGCACCTACAGGGAGCTGAAGGTTAGAAACCCAAATAAGAATTCTATCCTGTAAGATTAGTGGTTAGCGTTCAAAGAAATTTAGCTGATTCATTCAATTTTACATTTGATCTAAGTAAGGGTGAGCAGTGTGCATTCTTTACAGTCGGAGTATACTCTTGTATCGAAATGTATTGCAGTGACTGATAATTGAACGCCAGTAGTGAAAACAGACAACTCCTAGACAAAATGGGCCAGTAAATATATCATTGTTTTTCTAGTTGGAGATGATACTGTACTGAATGCATTATATGGATGCCCTCCTGTTATTTCTTTATGGCTGTCCTTTGCCTTATTTATTGGAATGGACTGGCATTAATGTTGTGAGCAACGCATTGTTTTAGCTTTCAAAGCAGCAGAATCTGATAGAGAATGATTATTTTTTGTTGGTTATTTCTGTGTAACCTGAGGTTAATTGAGTTCCTGTTGTGTAAGTTGGTTACTGTGTATTTTGATGATATGCCAGTGTTGTTGATTGTAAATAATATGGAGCTACCGAAACACGCATACAATTAGGATGAAGAATGTTGGTAATAGATCAGAAGGTGAACTGGATTGAAGCAACTAATAATGGTAAGTACAGTTTATTTCAGTAACCTGCTCGTGTGCATCAAGAATCCTGGTTTAATGCTCATCAAACTTGAAGTTACAAAGTGTTTTCCTTTTATCTTATATCTACTAACATGTAAAATTTTGCATGCCTTTCCAAACTTGGTTTAGATTTAAAAAACCCCACAATACCACATTGAAATAAAACATGCAACAAAAAGCTTATTAAAAAGCAGAGACATCCTCACAGCTTCATTCACAGGATGTGGGTGTCGCTGGCTGGCCCAGGATTTATTGTCCGTCCCTAGTTGCCTTGAGAAGGTGACGCTGAGCTGCCTTCTCAGACTACTGTAGTCCATGTACCGTAGTATATCCAGAATGTCATTTAACAAGGGAGTTCCAGGATTTTGGCCAATTGAAGAAACGTTGATATATTTCCAAGTCAGCATAGTGAATAGCTTGGAGCAGAACTTGCAGTTGGTAATGTTCCTATGTATTTACTTGTCTGCCATCTAAGGGGCTGTGATGAATTTCTGGAATGCACCTTGTAGCTGGTGTACACTGTTCGTACTGAGGATTGCTGCTGCTGCTACTACTGCTAGATTGCAGAATAAAAATAATTGTTTCTCTTTTGTAAGTAATTGTATATTTCCTTTTAATTGAGAAATATATAACTGGTTAATCAAATATTTCCTCAGGTAACATGTTTTGATATAGTACAGCCATGTTAATAAAGGATAATTTTCCATCTTTTCCCTGCATGCATCTTCTGCTATATAATCCATTCTCTCAACTTTTAAATAGAAGTTTATTTACAATGGTTGAGAGATTTTTTTTTTTCTTTTGCTTTTAAAATTTTTAAATTATTCCAGCATGTAACTTCCAGCAATTTGGGATATCACTATTCTTTAGTAGTAGTATAGAACTTAAAAGTTCCTAACAAATGACATTGAGTAGAAGCATTTTGTCTTACACTGATGGTTGGCATGGAGATGCAGCCAGACCTGTCACTGTCAACCATAGCTAGCTCATTATCCTAGAGCAATCAGGGAGTCGCTGGTCACGGAATTGGTAAGTATTACAAAGGAAACCAATTTAAGTTTATTATTTGAGCTCACTTGTGCATGCTACAGGCTACATATATTCACACACCCGTTCGATGTAAGCAAAAGCAGTTGATCTAAACATTCCTCCTTTTTCATTTGAGAAAGTGATATGGAAACTGGCAACTCCTG